TGTTTTACATTTAAATACATTCACACTTATCTCTGAAAACTTGTACTGAATTTTCTAGAATTACTTATTGCTTGTCTGAGGCTCATTCTCCAGTAAATTTCACAGGAACAGGTCATGAGAGTAACATTCCGTGAGCTCTTGCAGTTCACAATGCTGGACTTTTTCCTGTTAACTCATACAACCTTTGATTCCCATCTTCTTTTCATGAAATCATTTAAAATATTTCTCTTATTTTTATTTTTTTGTTGTTGTTGTTTTTCGAGACAGAGTCTCACTCTGTCTCCCAGGCTGGAGTGCAGTGGCGTGACCACCTCCTGGGTTCATGCCATTCTCCTGCCTCAGCCTCCCGAGTAGCTGGGACTACAGGTGCCTACAACCACACCCGGCTATTTTTTTTTTTTCTGTATTTTTAGTAGAGACAGGGTTTCACCATGTTAGCCAGGATGGTCTCAATCTCCTGACCTCATGATCCACCTGCCTCAGCCTCCCAAAGTGCTGGGATTCCAGGCATGAGCCACCACGCCCAGCCCTTCTCTTATTTTTTTAACAGAAAATGTTGTTGTTGATAATTCTGATTTTTGGGTGTGTTTGTTTTTGAGACAGAGTCTCACTGTGTCACCCAGGATGGAGGAGTGGCACAATCATAGCTCTCTACAGTCTCCAACTCCTGGGCTCAAGTGGTCCTCCCACTTCAGCCTCCCAAAGCACTGGGATTACAGCCATGACCTGAGAGGTCTAATTCAAAGCTGATTTTCTATCTCTTAAAATGACTTGGTCTCTTTGTCTGAATTCCCAAATCGAAAAAAAAAAAAATTTGTTTTTGTTTTTTCTAACTTTTAACATTCAGTTATTTTATTAGGATTTCCTTGGTGATAACTGTTATGTGTTTATTTCTCCAGTTAAAATAAATGCGTAAATCTTAAAACTTCTATTTCAGCAAACTGTTCCTGATTTATAATTTTAATTCTTGTTTTCCTTCCTTAGGGACTGTTTTGTTAGATCCTCCTTCCTTTCATTGTTTCTTTATATTTACTCGTCTTCTCTTCTTTCATTTTCTCTCAAATCATTTTTATCTTTTCCTTTATTTCTATTTGATTTCCTTCATTTTTCCTTTTTCATCTTTTGATTTTTCTCACTGTATTTTTCCATAGTATCTTTTCCCCATGTGTTGCAACTTATTAGTCTTTATTTATTAGTGTATTTTTAAAAATAACTCTTTCCTGAGTTATGTAAGTTCTCAATTCATAGCCATTGGCTATTTAACTATTTCTTCTATTTCTGGTTTATACTATTCTTTCAAAGTCTCTATTGATTCTTTAATTTATTTTCTCTCACTTTGCTATTGTATGTGTGATATTATGATTTTATATACTTTATGTATAAACACACGTATATAGGTTTTCATCCACCATTCCTGGATCATGACTCCATAATTCTGGTTACAGTTTATTTATAATGTGGGGTGCTTCATGCCTCTGAAACAGGCCTCAAGAAATAGAATCTCTCTCTTTGACCTCCTGTCCTCTCACCTGCCCAAGGCAGGACTCTAACCTGATTATAGGTTAAAAGACTCTCATTCAGAGCGAGTCCTGCCCCGCACCCTAGAGGAAGGAATGCTGCACAGACAGTCCAAAAAAAAAAAGAAAGAAAGAAAGAAAGAAAGAAAAGTCTGAGCAGACAGGCCTTCCGGGTTTAGATCATGTACTTTTTGCCCAATCACATGTCTGCATAGTTGTCCATCATACTTATGTTATGAAGCCACCATAAAAACTCAAAAGGACAGGGCTGAGAGAGCTTCTAAATAGTTGACATGTGGAGGTTCCTGGAGGGTGCTATGTCAGGGGAAGACGTGGAAGCTCCGCACCCCTTCCCCTGTGCCTTGACCTATGCGTCTCTTCATCTGCATTTCCTTCTCTATGAAACAGGAAAAACACCCTGTATTTCCTTCTCTATGAAACAGGGATCTTTAGTGATACACTTGTAATATACTTTATAATACACTGGTAAACTTAAGTGTTTCCCTGAACTGCTTCAGCAAATTAATTGAACCCAGAGGGGGTCGTGGGAACCCCAACTTGAAGCTGATAGGTCAGAAATTCAGATTTGCAGCAAGGAGTGTCTGCCATGAGGGTGTGTTGGCGGGGGCATTCTTGGGATCTGAGCCCTCAGCCTGTGGGATCTGATGCTATCTCCAGATAGCTAGAGTGAGAATGGAACTAGAGGTGAATTTGAGGTGAATTAGAATTGAATTAGTTGATGTCCACTGTTTGTTAGTGGGGAAACTGCCCCTCCCCGAATAATTTGGCCACAGAAGGCTTCTTCTTTGTTCATTGTTGTGGTGTGAAAGCAAAGGAAAAATTTGATTCGGGTGTTTTTCCGAAACAGAGTGTTACAGTTTTTATCTGCTTTGTGTCCACTTTTTCTGGTGTTATTTATTTCCTTATTACCTTTTTTTAAATAATAACTTTGAATTACTTAGACTATTTTTTTCTGTGTGTCCCCTGTTTAAATGAAATGGCTTTTCCTAGACTATTAAGGGACAGTTCCTGGTCAGTGGGGACCAGGGGATGAAGTAGGGTCACTCTCTCAGCTTCAACTTTCCTGTTATTAAGAAGGACTCAAAATACGTCATCCCATCCATCTCTCAGGTCTACGCCTAGCTGAGAAGGTTTCCTGCCATCAGTCCTGTTTCCCAGAACTCTCCCCTTTAGACAAGTTATTTTGTTGTTACATGACTTCCTGGGATCTGATTCCTTCGGGCTCACAACCTCCTCCCCACACCACTTACCAGAGTTACTGCCCGGCTCAATGTGTCTGCTTCTGGCAGTTTTCCCCTCTGGAAAGGGATATTAGTTGGATATTTTGGCGGTCGTCAAGGATTTGCTCTACTGCCTCACTGTTGGGTCTCTTGTGATGCCATGTGCAGGCTCCTGCTTTCACTTGCAACTCTGAGCATATCAGAATAGTAGCTTCACAGTTACTCTCAGGCTTGTCCACACAGATTTTTATTCCAGATTAGGCTTTCTTTGGAGGGTGAGTCTTCATGGGCGATCTTGGGTTCTATAGCTTATAGGGCTTGTCAAAGGTTTGCATTGAGCCCACCACTCTCTTTTCCTGTTTCCTGCAACCTCACACCATTTGAACCCCAGTGTTTCTACCCTGCTCAATTGCTTTCACCACTCCACAGCGGACTGCCTTTAGGTGCCACTGCTATATGTGGTTTTGACCACAGCAGTACTCTAGGATTTAGAGGTGTTTCCTATCACCTAATATTTAAAAATATATGATTTATGCATATTTTTACAGTATTTCTAATTTTCTGTTTTGTTTTCTGGAGGAGTTTTGAAAAGATTGAGAAACTACACTGCCACCATAATCTCATTAGGACCAGAACTCAGGATGCAGTTTCCACATATTCTTTATAAAATCTTATAATTTTAGAACGTGAGCTCTCTAAAAACCTTAAAGGTCACAGAGTCCAATACCCTCCTGTAATAGGAAAGATCATTGAGGTCCAGAGAGTGAAAAAGGCTTTCTCAAAGCCAGTGTAGAAAGTAGTAGAGCCAAGTATAAAATATAGCTTTCCCAGAATCTTGGTGTTAGAGGGAACCCTGGGGCATGTGGTCCATCTTCTTACCCAGTGCATAATTCCCCAGGAAGAGAGGTAGCCAATATCCCCTTGAATATCTTAAAGGATGAGGTGTCTAAATCAACCAGTTCCCCATGTGGTAAAGACAAACTTATCTTTTCACTTCTTTGCATTTTTCAAAAGAACAAACTGAGACACACAAGGATGAATTGATGCAGGTGTTATTGCGTTTGTTCCCTGTTTCCTCTCGGTTTAGAAGCTGACTTAGAAGCACCTCTAGGTTGATTCACAGCCTGAGTTGGAAACAATCTTCAAGTTCATCTAGTCTAGTGGATTCATTAGTCTATGCTTAAACATGCCTGGCAGCTCACTCTATCATCAATTGTTCAGGAGTTCTTCCTAAAGTGAGATGATGCACATGAACGTATTTGTGGATTATATAACATTATATAAATCTAAGATTGTCAGATTTCTTATATTGAATGGAATTTTCTCCCCTTTAACTTCTAAGCATTGTTCTTGGTTCTGCCCTCTGAAACTATGCAGAATAAGTCTCATCACTCTTGTACTTTGCAATGCTTGAAACACTGAAAGACAGCTAATGGGCTCCTTCCTCGTGGCTAAGGCTTATCTTTTTCCATGGTTATAAACACAGCCAGCACTTTTATTCTTCTTGTGGCATTGTCTTCAGTACTCCCAGCAATCTGCTTTATCTCCTTTAGCACACAAGAGCTTATTAATGTTTCTCTTAAAATGCCAAAAATAAACAGAGTGGGACTCAACTTTCTTTGTCTCAGCATCACACTTACATCAGCAGTGTAAGATTATGAGTCATTCCAGTGCTTCTTATTATGCCTGATTTATTTTCAGCTTGCAGTCAACTAAAAACACCTAATATTTTCTAGCGAACTTCTACTAAAGCAGTTCTCCCACTTATTGGGCGTGGGCAGTTGATATTTTTGGTCCTAGATGTAGGAAAATAGCTTTGTAAGCAGCAACACAAGTCCTTTCAGAACTCCAGTGACTGACTGAATCTGGGGACCCTAACTCTTTTGGGCATCAAGGTTCTCTCTGATATGCCCCATCCCTTTCTTGGGATTTAATTCTTCCTTGGCTATATTTGCTATATTCCTTTTCTTTTGAATATCATACTCCTAGATATAGAAGTCCAGAGAAAAGTAGTGGGTGAACAATCCCCTTCTCACACTTGGTAATAATTTCTAACACTTTCTACCACTCCCCTGGCACCACTGCTGTTTTCTTTTTACCACTATCTGTACCAGTATATCATTGAGTACCCAAGCAGGGGTGCGTGCTGGTCTCATTCTCCTGTTTACTTTTTTTTCTTATTAATACAGTATTTATTTATCTTTTCTCTGTCAAACCCTGAGCCGACCATGTTCCCCAGGCTGCCTGAGGAGGTATAGGAAAAGGAACACACAGGGCCTATCAGACATGGGAGAAAGAACTATGGGAGGTGGAGACCAGCTCCTTCACACGGGGAAGAGGATGAGAAAAGCCACCATCAGGCAAAAGAGCCGCAAGGCCTCCCAGAGGGCAAAGCCCAGAATGGCATAGAAGAAGAGCTGTTGCTTCAGAGAAGGGTTCCTGGCATAACCAATGAGGAGGCTCCCACACACAGTCCCAATCCCAGCCCCAGTGCCAGCCACCCCAACTATGGTAGCCCCAGCCCCAATGAACTTGACTGCTCTGTTGATGTCCCTTGAAATGGCGCTGGTTTGGAAGCTGTGGCTAGGGACAAGTGAGGTAAGGGGATGTGAGACTGCCAAGCTGCTGAGACTCTCATCTGTCATTGTCTCCGGTCATTTCAACACCACTGCAGATAGTGGATGGCTCAGCAGCAGTGAAGTGCTCTTGACCAAGGAGAGAGTGGAGATGAACTTGGAGCAGGCATACATTTTCAGGGGGTGAGGGACTGTGGCAGGAGAGCTGCTCCCAGTGCAGAGAAGACAGAGAGGACTCTCCTGTTTAAACATACAGTGGAGGGTCAGGGAGAGGGAATGATTAAGAAGACATGAAATTGGATGGTACATACTGACCCTCTTTAAGAGGCAGATATCTGCTGTCAGTACATCTTGACATACATTCCCTGCCCACTCATTATTCAGGACAACACCTTTATATCTTCTAACCCCTGTATTTCCTTATCTATGAAACAGGGATCTTCAGTGAAAACCTACATTTCCTTTGTAGGATAACTTACATTTCCTTAGGACATTCCTAATATAAATTATTCTTTCTCACTCCCCTATTTACTATGTAGACCTTATCTATTGAGGCTGTATGCTAAAGAAGACCCTTATGGTGCTAATGAGTGCCCCCTGGGGCCACTAAGTCAAAAGCCTTCATCCTAGTATGAGTTGTCAAGTGCTAGTTGGCCAGTTTCTATAAAGGACCCCCCTAAACCGCTAATGAGAGCCTCAAAACTAAACATATTGCAAAACAAACACGTGGAGAGAAAAGGTTAAGTTAATTTTTAAGTACTTTCCTATCATTTTTCCTGATAATGCCCAAATACTGGTCATGGGATGTATTTTTACGTTGATATGGGAGAGTGGAGGCTGTGAAAAGGAAATAGGACTAAAAGATGAGAACAAGGGTGAATCATAAACTGGTCTATGAGCTGGGATTCACATGGCATATTTCCGACTTCCGGAAGTGTGGTGAACATCATGAGGTCAAAGAACATTACCTAGAGAGAGATGTATTTTCATATTTATTTGCTACTGAATGAATATAAATGAATATATACATATACTTCGTTATACTTTTGTACATCCACCTACTCATATACCAGTCTGAATGATAGAATATTTCCATCACCCATCATGGAACTTCTCTGTGTGCTCATCACCACTCTCATCTACTTCCCTATTGTCTTAGAACCTCTTTTTTCTGTTTATGAGTCTTCTGTTTTTCTTTATTATCTTATGACATACATTCTTATTTCTAAACAGTATATTATTTAGTCTTGCATGTTTTTTAACTTTATGTAAGCGGAATTACTCTGTGTATTTCTTTGCGTTGCTTTTTTGTTTGTTTGTTCAATTTCATATTCCTGAGATTCGTCTGTGTATTGCTATAGTTCATTTATTTCTACTGGTATATAATATCCCATTTATTCAGCAATATATTATCCATTCTATTGTTGATGGACATTTGGATTGTTTCTAGTATTTTTTTAATCACAAAGAGTGTTAGGACCTATGCATGTCTCCTGGTGGTATAGACCAGAGTTTCTCTAGGTGTATATCAAGGAATAGAGTTGCTAGGTCAAAAGCTTTATGTATTCTTAAGTAAACTGGATAATTGTAAGTTAAAAGAATTGGCACCAATTTTCGTTTTTACATACTGTGTATAAGAGTTCTGATTGAAGTCACTTCCTTGCCAAACTTGAAGTAGTCAAACTTTAAAATTTTTGCCAATCTATTGAATATGAAATATTACCTTATGGTTTCAATCAGCATTTACCCACTAATGAGGTTGAATGTTTTGTTTTATGATTTTCTTCATTTCTTGTTCTTTATCTTTATCTTCTTGTAGTTTGTTCATTTGTATGGACGTTTGGATAGTTCTTGATACATCTTTTAATAAATTCTGTATACTAATTATTTGACAATTATATGTGTAACAGAACGTTCACTCAATTTGTATCTTGAATCTTTAACAATTTTTTATTTCCCTTTGAAAAATCAAACTTCTTAATTTTAATCTGGTTTCACTGGGTGGTTTTTCTATGCATGAGATAATATATCTCCCCAGTCTGTCTCTTGCCTTTTTATTTATCTAACAGTTAATTCAATGAGCAAATGTTTTTAATTTTGATATCTGATTTATTAGTTACTTCCTTTTGTAATTGTTGTTTTCAATATTTAAGAATTTTTTTCTTTTTTTTTTTTTGAGACGCAGTCTAGCTCTGTTGCCCAGGCTGGAGTGCAGTGGCACGATCTTGGCTCACTGCAACCTCCGCCTCCCGGGTTAATGCCATTCTCATGCCTCAGCCTCCTGAGTAGCTGGGATTACAGGTGTGCACAACCACACCCAGCTGATTTTTGTATTTTTAGTAGAGACAGGGTTTCACTGTGCGGCCAGGTTGGTCTCAAACTCCCGACCTCGTGATCTGCCTGCCTCAGCCTTCCAAAGTGCTGGGATTACAAGCATGAGCCACCATGCCTGACTAGAAATTTTTTAACTTCAGAAAATATCTTCCTATTTTTTTCAAAAATCTTTACATTTTAGCATTTAATTTTACATTTACTTGTTATTTGTTTTGTATGGTGAGGTAAGGGTTTGGAGTTCATTTTTCCCCCACGTAGATATTCAGTTGACTGAGCACAATAGTTGAAAATACTTTTTTTTTTTTTTTTTGTAAGATGGAGTCTCACTTTGCCACCCAGGCTGGAGTGTAGTGGCATGATCTAGGCTCACTGCAACCTCTGCCTCCTGGGTTCAAGCAATTCTTCTGCCTCAGCCTCCTGGGTAGCTGGGATTACAGGCATGTGGAGGCACGCACCACCATGCCCAGCTAATTTTTGTATTTGTAGTAGAAATGGGGTTTCACCATGTTGGCCAGGCTGGTCTCAAACTCCTGACCTCAAGTGATCCACCTGCCTTGACCTCCCAAAGTGCTGGGATTATAGGCATGAACCACCACTCTGGTCCAAAAAACTTTTTTCTATTGAATTACTTCAGTGTCTTTAGGAAAAATCAGTTGACTGTATCATTGTGGGTTTATTTTGAATTATCTATTCTGTTTCGGTAGTTTTCAACCAATATGTCTTCAAACATTTTTTTTCTGCCCCATTCTCTGTCTGTTCTTCTGGGTCTCCAGTTACATCTATATTAGACTGCTTAATATTGTTACATGGGTTTCTAAAGCTTTGTTTCTTTTTGTTCAATATTTTCCTCTCCATTTCTCAGCTTGTGTAATTTCTAACGTTCTAGTTTTATGTTTATTGACTTTCCTCTACCACCTTCAATCTGCTATTAAACCCATTTAATGAATTTTTCATTTTACTTATAGTCTTTTTCTGCTTTAAAATTTTCATTTTGTTCTCTTTTATAGATTTTATTTCTCTAACTCTATTCCCCATCTGCTCATTATGAAAATATCTTCTAAGTTCTTAAACATATTCAAAATAGCTGCTTTAAAGTCTCTGTCTTCTAATTGCAACATCTGCATCATCTTGGAGTTAGGGTCTTTTGAGTTATTTTAATCTTGGTTATTTGTCACATTTTTCTATTTCTTGCACATGTGTATTGATAATTGACTGATACTGGACATTATAAAAATTGTATAGAGTCTGAATTTTGTTATTTTTCCCTGAAGAATCATTTTTGTTAAATATGCTGAACTTGAAACTCCAAATTTTGTCTCTCCTGCAGGTGACAGAAGCTTAAATCTCTCCTTAATTCTTCCAGCTTCCACTGTTTTCTTCAATGTATGCATGTTGTTTTCTTTTTTCCTAATTGTCATGCTTCCTTCTGGGGATTTCCCTATGCAAAGAGAAATGGTTAACGGTCAGCCAAAAAGTTAGGTGGATTTTACGTGCAGATTTTAGGGTTCATTCCTCTGTGGATCTCTATCTTCTAGGATTTCTCACCTAACTTTCTACTTTTTTTTTTTTTCTTTTTTTTTGAGATGGCGTCTCACTCTGTCACCCAGGCTGGATCTCGGCTTGATCTCGGCTCACTGCAAGCTCCGCCTCCCAGGTTCACGCCATTCTCCTGCCTCAGCCTCCCGAGTAGCTGGGACTACAGGTACCCACCACCACACCTGGCTAATTTTTTGTATTTTTAGTAGAGACGGGGTTTCACCGTATTGGTCAGGATGGTCTCTATCTCCTGACCTCATGATCCACCCGCCTCGGCCTCCCAAAGTGCTGAGATTACAGGTATGAGCCACTGCACCCGACCACCTTTCTACCTTTTTTACCAGTCTCAATTTCTGTTCCTTAACACATTAAGCCAATAAGACTATGGGTTTTTGCGCATTCGGATTTGTTGCATTGGAGAGTGCCACAAATTAAAATACATCCTTCACAGTTAATTTTTATACTATTGATTCTTCATTAGTTTCTTTCTGTGTTTGGTAATACTGTTTCTCCAAAAACTTAGATAATTCTAAAAATATTTTCCCATATTTTAAATTGTTATCTAATGAAAGATTAATGCAGCCAAGCTATTCTGCTGTTACTAGAAGTCAGAACAATTGATGTATTTTTAAAATTACATTTTCTCAGTGTTTTTTATTGCTGGGTATGCAAATGCAATTAATGTTTGTATGTTGATTTTATATCCAATATCCTTGCTTAACTCTCTTCTTTACTTAAACACATTAGATCATTGCAGGTTTTCTACATATACAATAATATAGTTGTGAAAAATCACACTTTTGTTTCCTCTTTTCAAATTCTATTTTTTATTATGTTTTCTTGCCTTTTTATACTGGCTAGGACTTTCAGTGCAATGTTGAATACAAGTGGTAAAAATAAACCCTCTTGACGTGTCATTTTTTTTGCCATTAATTAACAGTTAACTACAGGTTTCTTGTGACTTTCACTTAATTGTTAAATAAATTGTTCTTTTTCTAATTTTCTGGTATTTAAAAAATCATATAGATATATAGAATTCATAAAACACTCATCTACGTCATTCAAATAACCATATGATTTTAATTTTTTTCTTAATGTATTAATGCATTGAATTATAGTAATTAATAGTCTAATTTTTTTTTTTTTTTTTTTTTTTTTTTGAGACAGAGTCTCACTCTGTTGCCCAGGCTGGAGTGCAGTGGCATGGTCTTGGCTCACTGCAAACTCCACCTCCCAGGTTCA